TACTTGGAAGGCTGAGGCGGAAGGATCGCCGGAGCCCAGCAGGTGGAGGCTGCGGTGGCCGGGAGTGGCCACTGCACTCCAGTCTGGGCGATAGAGTGAGACTCCAACTCAAAAAAAAAAAAAAAAAAATCTGTAATGGCCAAGAGTATGTATTGTGAAACTGCACTGTCTGAATTTGACATCTCAGTCTGCTTACTCCTTGCTGAAAGTTACTTTACTTCTCTTTACCTCTGTTTCCTTATCTGGAAATAGTAATAGTACAAAACATTTAGAATAGTATCTGGCATATAATAAACATTTAACAGTTAGCTATTATTAATGTTTTTCTTTCAATTACAGTATCACTGCCACCCCTTAAGTATTTTTTTACATTTATTCTTGATCCTCTATCAACTCAACAAATAATTTGCACACATACTTTATGTGCCAAATAGATTATTACAATAGCCTCTTATTCATTATAATCTACCATACACATCATAGCTAGATAATTTTAATGTACAACTTTGGCCAATAGGCTCTTGAGTTAAAAAAAACTTCTGTGTTTTCCACTCCCCTCCCCCCCCAACACCCCATTGACTTCATGAAGTAGTATACTGAGGAGAGGGCAATGAGAGCTGTCTTTTTTTTTTTTTTTTTTTGAGTTGGAGTCTCACTCTGTCACCCAGACTGGAGTGCAGTGGCTGCTCCCGGCCACTTAACCTCGACCTGCTGGGCTCCGGCGATCCTTCCGCCTCAGCCTTCCAAGTAGCCGGAATTACAGGTATGCGCTACCACGCCTGGCTGACTTTTTGATTTATTGTAGAGATGAGGTCTCACTGCCCAGGCGGGTCTGGAACCCGCGGGCTCAGGTAATTCACTCACCTCAGCCTCCCAAAGGCGCGGGATTACAGGCTGTGCCACCGAGCCCGGTTGAGCTGTGGAGAGAAGTGTTTTATCATTGATAGAATTTTAAATTGGCGCCTGGTGATGATAAAAATATACCTTTAGTCTCTCTTATTATTGCTTTAAAATCTCTATTGTCCATACATCCCAATTGCCTGCACCTAGAACAGACTGCTCTTATCCTGCCTCCCCCAAGCCCTCCACTTTGGTATATCACTGTCTTTCATGCTTAAATTCAAATTCTCTCTCTCTCTTTTAATAATCCAAAGTTTTTAGTCTTGTTTTTGTAATAGGAATCATTCCATAGTACTCCTATAAAGATTATCTATGATCCAGGATGGCCAATCCTATATACCACTCAATGCACTCACTTATCAGACCTTATCCCCAACTGACTGGATTGTTTTTCTCATCGAAAAACATACCCATGCATCCATATCAATGCCTTCACACTAGCCCAGAAATTGTTTTTAGCTTTGGGACTTATATCACATTATCTTTGTCATGTAGTTAATATATATGCTTTATATAATTTATATTTTCCTTATTTTTATTTTACTCTTCAATTTAAATGATGATAAATTGATGGTCACAGGTATCCTATACTGTTCAATGGCACAAACAGAAGCTTATTCAATGATATTAAAAATTAACTAGTTTTGAAATAGGAAAAAGAGCCTCATTGCTGAGTTCCTTTATAATAATTTGTGTGTTCTAGCAATGAGTCCCAATCAGCACAGGTTACCACTGCTTTGCAAGTCAAATTTTCCTCATTTGGGTATAGTGAAGATAGGCATTCTCAGGAAAATTTCTTGAGAAATCACAACAAAATATACATATAGCAATGTGGCAGTTGGGAGATGTGGAGATGGTATAGAACAAAAAGTGAAAATTCCACTTACACATCCTTTGAAATCCCATTTTTCTTCCCAGTGTTAATAATTTGCTGTGTAGCCTTCCAGATTTTTTCTGGCATGTGTGGGATGTGTGTGTGGTGGGGGGTGGGTGTGTGTGTGTGAGAGAGAGAGAGAGAGATTTTCATTTAATAACATTTCATTGGCCATCATTTGGTCTTAATACAACTAACTTTATCTTATTTTTAGCAGCTAATGCAGCAATTTCTAAATATTGAAATGATCAGTAATTGACATCTTTAATCTTCAGGATGGTGGTCTGGGCATCATTCAAAGGTGTAATTCAGGCTAAATTCCATTTTGTTGCCCATTATCTGAACACTATACAGTTAATTAGCAAACACTTAGAAGGTTTGGTGGATGGTGTGCAGTAAGTTGAAAAACAGTATGTGCAAGTCAGATTGCCACCAGAATTAAATGCCCTAGAGAATTTATAAGAAAGAAAGAGCCAAAGGAAGAAAGATAATTAGAATACTAGTGTATTTGTGTCTACATTATTGCTTGTTTCTGATTATAAAATAATACATGCTCACTATAAAAGATGGGAAACAAAAATATGTTAAGAAGAAAGCTATAATTGCCCTAATCCTACAACCCAGACTTATCCATTATTAGTATTTATGTTTGCTCATATAGGTTTTTTATTTTTAAAATTTTATTATAAAATACAACACCATGATTTTTAAAGTATTCAAACATTACAGAAGGGTATAAAGTGAAAAGAAAACAACATCTTCCCACCATCCCTTATCCTCACTTTCCAGATAATCATTCACTGTTAATAATTTTTCTCAAAATGTACATTTAAATATATTGTCTTCATTCTGAATATACAAATATGTAGTGTGCGATCTATATGCTATAATGGGATTATACTGTGTTAATGTTTTTATACGATTTTTCCCATTTAGCTTTCTATCTTGAGCAAACATATCCTACATATAACCCAGATGCAATCCAAAGATTCTGAGCATAGAGCTATTTCAAAGCATTTGACCTGTCACCTCTCCCCATTACATTCCATGTCTTTGAGTTTTTGACCTTACACCAAGACCTGTGGCCTTAGTTGAGGGCTTTTTTTTTTTTTTTTGAGTTGTAGTCTCACTCTGTCGCCCAGGCTGGAGTGCAGTGGCATGCTCATGGCTGCCCCAGCGTCGACCTGCTGAGCTTCCGCGAATCCTTCTGCCAATCCTTCTGCCTCAGCTTTCCAAGTAGCTAGAACTACAGGCACACGCCACCATGCCTGGCAAATTTTTGATTTTTTATTGTAGAGACGAGGTCTTGCCAAGTTTCCCAGGCTAGTCTTGAACCTGCAGGCTCAAGCAATCCACTCGCGTTGGCCTCCCAAAGTGCTGGGATTACAGTCTGAGCCACCGAGCCCTGCCAGTTGAGGGCTCTTTTTAGTGAATCGCACATTCATCTTGTGTATATGTGACTCTATTTGGTGAGAGGTATTAAAGGAGATGATATCTTTACTACAGTGTGGTACAGTGGAAAGTGTCAAAGACCTGGGTTTGAATACCAATGTTATTGCTTAGCTAGCTTTTTTAAAAGAAAATGGTTTGAACAACGTTGTGATATATTTTTATCCTCCTTTAGAGATGAGAAAACAGAGACCCAGCCACGGAGAAGTGATTAAGATCACACAGCTAGTATGTGGAGTCAGGATCAACTAAAGGCCTGTTTGAGCCAGAGCCTATGTGCTTTCTACTCTAGACATCGTGGTCTTTCTTTAGGAATTCTTTTTTTAAGGAGGGGTTCCCTCTTTATTTTATTCTAAAGATGTGGGGTACAGGTCAGGATTAGGTTCGTAAATGGTCTACGTACAGGTGAAGTTTGGGCCTCCTACTGATCCTCACTTCTCCTGGTTTAGAATCAGGTATCCTTAGTGATGTTATGTGCCCCTCCCCAGGAATCCTATAAGTAACAATGTATTGTATTCTTGAAAATCACTGAGAGTGGATTTTAAGTGTTTCACCACAAAAACGGTAAGTATGTAAGGTAATGTGGATGTTAATTAGCCCAATTTAGCCAATCCATGATGTAAATGTGTCTCAAAACATCATGTTGCACACGATAAATATATACAATGTTTATTTGTCAATTAATTTAAAAAGGTGAGTGACAACATGCCTTCAAAGTGATTGCCTAAAACTTTTGACTAAAGCCTTGATACAAGTTATATATTTTTATCTTTTTAGTATCCAAGCACTGCCGCTCTGATTTCCTTGTTTTGTCCTACTCCCTTTTCAGGAGAGAAGCCTTATAAATGCACCTGGGATGGCTGCTCCTGGAAATTTGCTCGCTCTGATGAGCTCACCCGTCATTTCCGCAAGCACACAGGCATCAAGCCCTTCCGGTGCACAGACTGCAATCGCAGCTTTTCTCGTTCTGACCACCTGTCCCTGCACCGCCGGCGTCATGACACCATGTGAGCCACACAGGCTGCACTGGAGGAGCTGTGCTGGTCTCTTTCTTGTGTATGTGTACTGAGGTCAAGATTATTTTTCCCTCTTTGACTTCAACTTGCCTCTGGGATGGAATTGAAACAGCCCACTGAGCCAGGTTGAGGAGACTAGAAGAGAAGACAGCTGGTCTCCCATGGGGCTCTTCATATTCCACCTTAACCTCTCCACTGTCCAGACCCGTTTTTTTCAACCTCCGCATGGGTTGAATTCCAGTGCGGCACCCATGGATGCCCCTCCATCTCCCTGCTTTGAAATAAGACTTTTTTCCTATAATGACAAGACAGGAATCAAACTCAAACTCAAGACTGTGAAGAAACATACACTGCTTTTTTTCTTTCCTATTTTTTCTCTTGTTTTCTAAAACTCTTTATCTGTCTATCTATCTATCTATCTATCTATCTATCTATCTATCTATCTATCTATCTAATGAGGGGGGACCCCCCCCCAAAAAAAGAAATTAGTTTTTGGAAGGTGGGTCTCTTGTTGTACAGGCTTTCCCCTCTAGGTAAGTGTTCTAGGAACTCACTGGCATCAGTGTACCAGCCAGCATGGTTGTGAGAGGCTACATTCAGCTTCAGTGAATTTTTCTGGGGAAAGTCTTTCAATGCATTTGCCCATTTCATGATGGGTGGTTTACGAGCACACCTGCCCACATAACACTGAGTGTTCAGCAGTTTTTGACCAAAAGCATCTTCATCTCCATGCTCCACCCTCTCTAGTCACTCAATCTGTCTTTAAGTGACTTTTTTTGTTGTTGTTTCCCCTGGATGAAAAAAAGTCCTCAAAGGGAAACGTTTTGCTAATGTGGAAGAGGTGAAACAAACAAACAAAAAACAGCAGAAGCACTAAAACGCATCAAAATTGATGAGTTCAGAAACTGTTTTGAGCAGTGGAAAAAAGTGTCTCACTAGGTGTATTGCATCAAACAGAGAATACTTTGAAGGTGACTAAAGTTTAAACATCTAAGAATAAATACACAAATTTAAATTTCATTTTTGGAGGGATCCTGCCTCATATATATAATCAGTGCTTAAAGGTGACTAGTAGTGTCCTACGATGTTTTTTTTCAAGTTCCTAGATAGAAGGGATTTAACAATGTAGTTGATTGGTAAAATTTCCAGGGATTTGGATCCTAAGTGTAGGGCACATTCCCAGTGAATGAGCTGAATCCCATGCCAAACACAAAGGTTTTATAAATCTAATCTTTTTTCTTTTTAAAGTTTGATTTTCAGATAGTGTTGATGTGCCTGCTTCTTATGTTTGTCAAGGGAATGAAGGGATCTTGTCCTTTTCCTTTTTCTACTCCTCCAGGATTATTTTGTTACACAATTATATTATTTGTTAGGTTAAATTTGGACAAATATTCAAGCACACATAGGGAGAAAAATGTCCCAGGAGAGTATGTTGGGCAGTGACAGGAACAAGCAGACATGGAATGATCCCGAAAACAAATAGAGGGGGACTTTCATTTGGATAAGATATCAAAAGTGCTGTTAATTACAAACCTCATTCAAATGGAAGCCTGTTGAAACAGAATCTTGAGAGACTGCACTGTACTATTTATTCTTTTGTTTACATAAAGCAGCAGTTAAGTATATTGCACGATGAGAAATCACATGCTGAGGTGAGAGGTTGGAAGAAGGGAACTTTGTTCACTTCATGGCATTATTGGCATTCATTCCTGTTCTTCAAAATAGAATATATGGCTTTTTATTAAAACAGACATACAAAATTTAACTTGATGTTTTGCAACTGCTATGAAAACCTAAGCCATTTCTTTTAGCCATTACAATTGGTGCATAATATACATATTTGGTTGCCCATTGTTTCATAATAGTCTCTGGGGGCATAAAACCCTCTGTTCCTTACCCTGGACCTCAGATCTACCTCCACATGGCATGTTTGCTTTCCTGGGGTCGGGTGGAGGAGGGGGCTTTGCATCACTTAGATTTGGACTCAGCCTTTTAAAAAAAGATTGTCTTCTTATTGAACCCCTTTTCCTTGGACAGATATTCAACCAGACCCTGCTTGAATACTTTAGGTTACTACCTCCTGAGGCTGTCTATTCTAACTAAATCTTAAAATTCGAGCACTAAGAAGGGATTCTGTTAGCCATTTAGTCCTACTAACCCCTCATATTTTACAGATAGACAAATACGGGTCAGATTCTTTCTCCAGATGTTTCCCTGAGGCCTTATAGACCTGCACATCCATTCTCCCAGGGATCACACTATTAAACCAAATTAAAGAGTATTTTATGTGATTGGTTGCAATATTTGTCCAATTTCATATGTTACACTTCAGAGAACTTTAGACCACTCAAAAATAATTTATAGCTGATTTAATAGTAAGTAAAATGTGCTTCTGGTCATTGCCAAATAACATCGGGCACACCATTTTTTCCCTAACACTTCCATAATACTTAGATTTTATTTACATCATTTAAACTCTGCAGATCATTTTCCATAAATTCAAAGACTGCCCATATTTTTCAAAATGAAATGTGGATTTTTACTGTCATCATTGCTATTTTGATCCGGGCTTTTTCCTGACTTTTGGCATGCACGTTCCAAACTGTATACTAATTGCTAAAGTTCTAGGAAATATCTAGGGCCCGTCTGCTAAAAGCAACCTCTAATTTAGCTATAAAACAGATTGATAATAATGAATCATCATAAGTTTAAGCTTGTAATTTGGTAGTTGATACAGTATTTCACAGTAGAACCCAAGGACTTACACATTTTCTCCACAGTTTGGATCCTGAGACTTCTTTTCCAGGGTTCAGAACTGACCACTGCCTCTCAGACCTAAGATTTTCTTTGCATTTGGACATATGTGGTATTTATAAATAAAAGTTATCAAATATACTGTTGCACTCATTGGGATGATCAACTTAGAATCCCAAATATCGATCTCCCTCACATCTCTGAACCTTTATTCAAAAATGTCTTTGTAAATAATGAGAGACTTTGTAAATGCTTTGTTGCCTAAAGGCAAGAAGCAATTCTAACCGTATTCTCATTGCCCTCTCCCTTCCAATAATGATAAAAATCTTCTCAATTATTTATGTATGCTTTAAGAATGTGGGAAGATTCACTAAGATAATTTCATAGATTACAGAAATTCAAATATAGTACAATACAGAGTTACTGCAAAATACACACACACACACACACACACACACACACACACACACACACACACATCAAACTTCGTTAGTGAAGTGAAAAGGAACTAAAATGTATCTCTCCTGGGTAGCATCTGAGATTTAATTGAATTTGTTGTGCTTATACCAGCAAAGCACTTTTAGCATGGAAAGTTGCCTAGGGCATAGAAAATAGTCTTATTTGATAAGATTGGATAATATTCTAGGATTTGTTGCAGTGGAGTACCTTTCTCTGTAGATGATTGGCAGTTGAATGCAACTTGATAATTATGATTATAAAATTTAGGAAAAAACTATGGAGAGTGTAAACTCTGGAGAAAAAAGCTATGAAGAATTGAGTAGATTAGGTGGGGTGCATTATGAGCAAGATAAAGGTTTATGATATTAACTTCTCTTTAAATAAACTTTTCATTTTAGGATAGTTTCAGATTTACAGAAAAAATTGTGGTGATAGTACAAAGAGACCCCATATACCTCACATCCAGTTTATCCTATTATAATATCTTATGTTAGTATGGTACATTTGTTATAATTAATGAAACACACTGATATGTCAATATTAACTGAAGTCCATACTTTATGCAGATTTCCTTAGTTTTTATGTAACATCCTATTTGTTCTGGCATCTTAATCAGGATACCATATTAGATTTAGTAGTTATATTTCCTTAGGTTCCTCTTGGTTGTTACATCTTCTCGGACTTTCCTTGTTTGTAATGATCTTGACAGTTTTGAGAAGTATATTCCGCAGCTGGGATTTATCTGTTGTATTTCTTATGCTTAGACTTAAGTTATGGGTTTCTGAGAGTGGGCAACAGAGCTGAAGTGACATTTTAATCACATCATGCAGGCATACCTCAGAGATAATGCATATTTTGTTTCAGACACCACAATAAAGTGAATATCACAATAAAGCAAGTCACACAAATTTTTTTCCCAGTGCATATAAAAGTTGTTTAACACTGTACTGCAGTCTATTAAGTGTGCAATAGTATTATGTCTTTAAAAATGTACATACCTTATTTTTAAAAATACCTTATTGCTAAAACAATGCTGACACAGAGACACAAAGCAAGCACATACTGTTGGAACACTGATAGATTGCTTTTTGCAGCATTGCCACAAATCTGTAATTTGTAAAAAATGCAATATCTCCAGAGCGCAATAAAACAAAGCACAATAAAATGAGGTATGCCTGTATTTACATGATCTGTCACTCTTGATGTTAATCTTGATTACCTGGCTGAAATAGTATTTGTCAAGTTGTTCCCTGTACTTTTTTTCTCCCGTATATACTGTACTCTTTGAAAGGAAGTCATTATGTGCATCCTTAAGAAGTGGTGGACCTCGAAGACCACATCTTTGGGAGTAAATATCCATATAAAGTATTTGGAATTCTTCTGTGTAGGTGATTTATCTCTTCTCTCCCATTTATTTATTTACGCAATCATTTATTTATATTAGCATGGACTCATGGATATTTATTTTATACTTTGAGTTGTAATACAGTACCATTTTATTTATTTTGTTGCTCAAATTATTTCAGCTTTGGGCTGGGCACAGTGGCTTATGCCTGTGATCCCAGCACTTTGGGAAGCTGAGGTGGGAGGTTGCTTGAGCTCAGGAGTTCGAGACCAACCTGAACAACATAGTGAGACCTTGTCTCAATTTAAATTTTTAAAATAATTGTTTCAGCTTCGACCATTGGAAGCTCTTTTGGGTTGACTCACAAGTCCTTTTGACAACCCCCCATCATTTTTATTTAGATGTCCTTACTTTCTGCCACTGCAAGATATTACAGGCTCATCTTAGATATTTTCTGGTCCACTCCTATAATCTGCCATTCCTTCAGGAAGTTTTTGTTTTTGTTTTTGTTTCTGTCACCCAGGCTGAACTACAGTGGCATGATCATGGTTAACAACAACCTCAGACTTCTGGG